AAAATTTAAACCATAAAAATTCTTTAAATATTTAAATTGAGCATACAAAATACAAAATTACACAAATAAAAACTAGATAAAAAATAAAAATTTGAGTAAAATTTGTAAACTACCTCTAAAACTGATAATGACTTTATTTTAGTAAAATTAATTTTAAGAAAAATAAATTTTGAAGGATTTATATATACAAGGCCATGCACAGGAACTAAGGGCCCCTTACTCAAAAAAAAAAAAGACCCGCTCAAATTTTTCAAAATGGCAAGATCAATTGTTTGTTCTTGTCCCATAGTTGAGCACAATAGATTCTTGATGAGCTTTAATTTACTGAATCGCTCACTTAAGGTCACTGGAATTTAAGCAATCATTACATTTCTTAAGAGTTCCTCAAGTTTCATTTCAGAAATTTTGTTTAATAAGTCAAATGGGGCAAGAGTTATTTATTTAAGTTTTTATGCTATATTTTTCTATACAATGTTCTTATATCCGAAGATATTGTTGGCTTAGCATAGGAACAGCCACAAATAGTCATTAAGACTAATCCAAAGTAGCGTCCGTTATTGACCAACATTTTTGCGTACCGAAGTACTACTCAAGCGCTGAGTTGGCGGTAGCGGGATTTGAACTCGTATCGTTCAACAGTCCGGGTTTTCACTTTTCTTTTAACGCTCTAACCATCTGAGCTATCCCGCCACTGTATATTAACGAGGACTTTTCGCAAGAAACGATTGAACAACGAAGGAAACTTTGGGAAGAGGTGAAATGACTTCGAAGTGAAGGTAAATACGCCATTTTAAAATATAATAAATAATTAAGTCGAGATTTTAAAGACACAAGAGGTGTCTTTCCAAAACTTGCATAAACAGAAGACCTTCCAGAAGATCTTCCAGACCAGGATTAGAGGCTGTCCATTATATACGTCCATTATATACATTCATTATATAACAATTTTTCAGCAATATTTATTTAAATAAAAATTAAAAGCAACCTAAGGAGACAGAACAGCCAAAAGTTGCAACTTACAAAGTTTTAATTTGCTGTCCTTACCATTTTGGTCTAGGTGATATTAATAACTTATTAAAAAGTTGCTCAAGTTCATTACAAAATCTGACAATTTTTTCTTTTCCAGCTTTAAAATTTCAACTTGTTTGATCGAGTATTTTTATTTTCACATTTTCCTCTAATAATTTGGCAAGCAATGAATGACAAAAATTATCTGATCGAATTGGTATTTCAGATTTTTTCCAAACTTCCTTAAACTCACCAAGAACAATATTAAAAATATCTCTTGCAGAAGTGTCGTTTTTTGAATTTAAATGTAAATGAGAGCATCTATCTAACACATATTTTTGCGTTGGTAGGCGACTGTAGCTTGATAATTTATTGGTTTCAGGGTAACCAATTAAACAATCTTGATTATTTTTCTAACGTTCATTGTTATAATAAAATATTTTCTTATCCAATAAATTAGTTTTAAAATTATTTTTAAAATTTCAATTTTGCTAATTGATATAACAACCAACTTTTTAAAAATAAATTTATGAAATTTATATACACACATACAGAAGTTTATTTTGCAAACTATTTAATCATGCAACAATGTTTAGTGGTCAATTATCCTCGAAACTTAAATTTTGCATTTTATTTAAAGTATTACGTTTTTTGAAGCATTTAAAGAATTTTTCAGTAAAAAAATATGCTAAAAAAATTCAACTTTATAATACAGCGACCTCTAGACATTACCAATTTTTTTGAAAATTTAGCCAAAAGTTCATCTTATAACCTATACTACATACATATAAAGACATATTAAGAAATTAATTATTTTTTATTAATTAACGTCATTTTATGTTTAAATTAAATTTAAAAAGTTAAAGTTGAAAAAAAGGTTAAAAAACGCTACATTTTTAAGACAACGACCTCTAGATGATATTTTAAAATTTTTCAAAAACTTATAGACTTTTTTTTAGCTCATTATTTATCCTGTTGTGCATGTAACTTGACAATTTTCGAAAAATTTCAGTGATGAAACACTTATTATCGGTTCTTTTTAAAGCACAACACGGTTTTTAAAAAGTAGGAATACAACTAGCTTTATTAAAATACTGAAGGTTAGCGAGTATGTAACACAGAACTGCAAACTGCCTAATTATTCATTTTTAGCGTAACTAAATTTTAAAAAAAAAGTAACATTGTTGACGTCAACTTGTCTTGACCTCCACCTGTCAACGAATGTCAAAAAAATTCAGACCTTGATCCTTCCCCCTATTTTATTGACAATTATGGACAGCCCCTTAACGGATCGTAAATAACTTACACAACACTAAATTTATTTTTAAAAAAGAAGTATTAGATTTTGAGTTTTTTTTGCGACAATTTTCATTAAACTTTATGAGCTATTTTATTATTATTTAATTTAATGGTCTTGATGTGGAAAAAAAAAGAAGGAAAAAAAATCAGAATGTTATCGCTACTGTTGGGGCCCCCATAGGGTCCAGGGCAATTTGCTTGGGTGACTCACCCTCTGAACGGCTCGGTATACATATATAAGATTATGCAAACAGTTTGTGAATTTTTAAATTATGTTTTGTTTCTTTAAGAAGAATCTATTGGTTAACTAAATTAAAAAAAAAACAAACCATCTGCCTTCCTCCAAAAAAAAAATGAATAAATAAAAAGTCTTATCTAAAAAAAACCAAAACCGCAATAACAATAACCTTCAGCATTTATAAAGCAAGCAAGGGTCACACAATGAATTTATTTATTTTTGTTGTCATATTAGATAAAGAATATTTTTTTTGATTTTTTTTATAGAAAACTTGCTTAAAGGGACTACCAAGTCCCGAGACATGTTGTGTCCATATTTAAGGGAATGTTAAAAAAAAAACGTCTGAGCAAATTTTTTTTGATTAAAACTAATTAATAAATGTATACCAAGAAAAACAAATCTTGTTGTTTTAGTCGAAGCTCGTCTTCTCCGTTTTTTCTGGTATTTTGAGTATGTAAAATAAACACGATTTTCCAAGCGCATTATACAGACTTGATAATTTATTTAAGTGGGTTTAATTCATAGGAGTTTTAGAGTATGACGTCATAGATTTATTTTTTGTTTGTTTAAAACACCAATTGTTTTTTTTTTACATACAATTTCCAAATCATATTCATTTTTATTATATTTTAAAGTTCTAAAATGTGTTTGTAAAATAAAATTGAAAACAAAATAAAACTAAAAACAAAATAAAATTAAAAACAGAAATAAAATTAAAAACAATATAGTATTTTATTTGCGCAATTTTTTAAAAATAATCGTCTAGACCATGTGTATTTTGATTTCTTTTGTTATAAGTTTTTCTTTTAAAATATTAGATAAAATAATTTTTAACCTAAATAATAATGCATTTTTATTAATTTACTTTGTAAATATTAAAACAAAAATTAACACATTTTTTCTCTGATTTTCAAAAATGTATTTTTTGGTATTGAGGTGATCTTATTTCATTATTTATATTTCCATTATAACATCCAATATATATTATGGTGGGGGCTTAAAAATTAAAAAATTAATATATATTAATTTTTATTTTACAGACATATATGGAATCATAATTAACTTTAATGTTCTTAAAACATCTTGTGGAAGAATAAAAAGAATATTCGCGAACACTAAAAACCCGCCAAATTTGCGAACAAACTAATTCTATTGGTTCAAAAAACACGCTGACTAAGCAAAATAAAGTTCTAGAGTATTCTGTTGAAATGTTTTAGCAATTGTATTATTTACGATTTGTTGCGTTTTGAGATATCTAGCATAAATTTTTTTAAGAATATATTATCAAATGAACTATTACTTTAATATTATGGCTCATTCATGGAGCCACATCTGTAAAGCTGTAAAACATTCAAACTATTATCATTTGTTTACAAAAATAAATGTTTTATAATATATATTTTTTAAATTGTCAAAATTTTGAAAGTTAATTACAAATTATATATTTTATTAGTAGATTCTTAATTTTTATATCTTTTCTTAGTGCTTGGTTTAATTAATTGTTCGTTAGATTTGTAAAAAACTAACGAACAATTAAAAAAATAAACTTTTAATAAAATAAGTAACTAAAGTTAGTTAATGAGTAAAATTTAATAGTAAAATTTTTAAAGAATTTCTAGAATGTTTCCAATGACGTCATGCTCTAAAACTCCTATGAATTAAATGCGCTTGAATAAATTATCTGTATATTGCGCCTGGAAAATCACCAGAGAAAACGGAGAAGACGAGTTTCGACTAAAACAACAAGATTTGTTTTTCTTGGTATACATTTATTAATTAGTTTTAATCAAAAAAAATTTGCTCAGACGTTTTTTTTTAATATTCTCTTTAATATGAACACAACATGTCTCGGGACTTGGTAGTCCCTTTAACATTCTTAAACATAAATGAAAAATAATATTTTGTACCTTTCAATCTCTTGTAAAAAAAAAAATAATAAAGTAAAAAGCTCTATATCAGGGGTTTCCAACCTTTTTGAACTCTATAAAACATTCTAGAATATCAAAAGGGTGGTAAGCACCACTTATTTTTAATCGGGACAGTACATACATGTGACTACTTCAGGTTTTCTGCATGTACAAGTTGATGTGCTAATAGCACTCCCATTACAGGATAGCATATGGCTTGCAATGAAACAAATTGTGACAAGTACTGTCAGCAAAGGAAGCACTCATACATACAATATTGCAAACATATGAATGTGTTTAATAAACTTAGGCAATCAAATTATTAAAACATTATCAAATAAATAAAAGTATTTAGCATTTTAATTAATATTTATGAAAAATTTCACTGCCTAATAGTGGCAGACACATACAAATCATTTCCCGGGCGCTATGGTACCTGGGGGCACAGAGTTGGGAACCACTGCTCTATATTAGTAAACACCTTAGTAAACACCTGAATGAATATCTAAAATAGTCTCACCAAAATGCAACAAAGTTCGTAAACTTACCTAAAATAGAAAACAAAAATGAAGATTCTTTATAGGTTTTTTTTGAAGAATCCAGGTTAACAAGAAACTTTAATAAACTATTTGGGTTTTTATTGGCTAATCCACAAATCATTGATAAACAACTCTTCAGCCTCTTATTGGCCACAATCTTATCACTACTTAAACAATTATATGCATATACAGATGCACAAAACTCCATTATTGTCAAATGAACAAATTGATAATAACAACCAAGATCTATTTCAATCCTTTCTATAAATCCAAAGAAATTAACTTCATTTTTATCAAAGTCATTAGTAAAAGCTTGAATTTCATCTTTGGAAAAAATTATTTTATTGTTAACAAACATTTTATATGCAATTTTACAAATATTTAAAATATACTTTTTATTGGAACTATCTTCCATTATCTCATATATCAGCTTATTGTTTTTTATGATATGTTTTCGCAAAAAGTATAAAAAAATATTTGCATACAAATCTGTCATTGTTAAGAAAGAATTTGTATCTATTTTTTTCGAATCACTTATAATTTTACACATTGAAAATAAATAAAACGGAACAGATGCCATGGCTTTTGCGATTGGAGACTCCTTTAAAGTTGTTTTTACAAATTCTTTTTTTTCTTCTATAACATGATTTTCTACATAATTATTTATTCCATTTTCATTAAACCCCATTACTTGAATGGTTAACTTATCGCTATGTTCTGTAGATATACTTTGGTATTGATCTATTGCATAAACTCTACCAGCAATTACATGTCTGTATTTTTGAATTTCTGCTAAAGCATTAACAATCGGATAGTTACAAGTCAAACTTGGGTTTAACAATTCATTGAAATATTTAAACTCATCTAATCCATCAATTAGAAACAATGCAGTATGATTACTAATATTAAAGTTGTTTACAATATCTTTGTAGAACACATTTAGTAAATCATTAATATTAGAAATATATGGATATTGATTAATTCTCCTGCATTCTAAATAGAAAACAAGTTCAACATTTTTCCAAATTAAATCATTTGACCAATCAAGCAAACATTTTCTAAGCAACCATGTTTTCCCAATACCAGCTATTCCAGATATTAATATTACTGGTTTTTCTTTCATAAATATTTCACTGTATGGAATTGGTGTATAACAAATTTGCTTTTTAAGAAATTCCTTTCGTTCAACACTGAAAATAGCATCCATTTGAGCATTCACTGCATCAACAATACATAGATCAACAAATTTTTGTATGAGATCAACATTTGCAGATGCTTTTAATAGTGGTTGAAGTTCACCAATTTTCCCATAATATTTATGATAAAATTTTTTTAGTTCAGCCGACATCCTCAACAAATCTAAATAAAATAAAACAATTTCTATTAAAGTCATCATCACAATCATAATTTTTTGTGAAGTTGATTTTTATTGATTTGAGATATGAGATATTTTTAACAAAATTTTTTAATTTAGAGTTAATGTTATTATATTTGACAAACTTTTTATTTTTTGTTATATCTATATATAAACTTTTTAATTTGTGATTACGTTATTAATTGTTCATCTGCCAACAAAATATTTTATAAAAGCTTTAAATTATTACTTCTAACAATTTTTTTTACTAAAATTGATTAAAGTTATGACTTCTAGCAAAACCTTAATAAAGGCTCTAACAAAACATTTTACTTTGCACAGCGGTCTTGCTTGCCAAATTTCAAATTTTGAAGTTAAATTGAGAGAGTTGTAACCACATTATCAAAAAAAAAAAAAAAAAAAAGATATATAAAAAAAAAATCTCCTGGATATTATGAATTAAATTAATTTCATAGGATTTTTATTTTTACTTATTAAGACTGAAGTTGCTTTAAACGAAAATTTTATTTTGAGTTAATGTTATTATATTAAAAATAAAACTTTCCTGATAAAAGTTCTAGAAAATTATGTCTTTAAAGTAGATTTTTTTATTACGTAAATTTAGGGGAATATATTGTCATGTTTATAAAGTTATGATTTCTAAACTGTTACAATTTAACCTTAAAAATGCAGATATATATATATATATATATATATATATATATATATATATATATATATATATATATATATATATATATATATATGTATATATATATATATATATATATATATATATATATATATATAAATTAATATTAAAGTAACTTAAAAATGAAGCTTAAAAATTAATAAAACAACATTTTTATATAACCTAACTTTAATCAATTTTTTTATAAATTACTATAAAGAACTTAAAAAAAAAAAAAAAAAAAAATCTAGCAGATACAATAAACAGTTTTTTGATTAATATGTCAACCAATTTTTTGCATTTTAAAAATATTTCAGTTTTCTGGAAGTACTGACATTAAAAGTGGTTGTGTGCAGCCTAGTCGGAGTAAATTAGTTTAAAAAAAATTTTTTGTATTTAAAAAACAGATGGTAGAAAAGATTGTTCCTATTTTAGAGAATTAATCAATATATCAATATATAACTCAGTTTAAACCTAAAATAAATATATTTTTTGTTAAAATATTTATGCTTGAAAAACTTTTATGAACAAAATTTCATTTTAAAATTTTACATAGTTGCTTTCCAAAATGTGCTTATAAAAACCTTCAAAGAATTTTGCCTGAAAAATGACGTAATCATTGATTTTAAAAGTGCCACAACACAACTATTGCAGGGTAATTCCATATGAAATCATCAAAAAAAAAAAAAAACAATTAGGAAACCTTTATGTCTTAGAATTTGTTCATTTTTACCTCACTTGCAGTCCATATTTAAAAAATAATAATTGCAAAAATTTTAGTCAAAAATATTCATGGGTTCTAGAGATATTTTCAGTTAAAATAATGCTGAATCAGCATTTTAGTGATAATCTGAAGCGACTACAATGCAACATATAGTATCTTCATAATGACTTGGGGAAATTTCCTAAAATTTAGTACCCTAATGGCTTTTTACTTGCGTAATCCAAAAAGAGCACTCTCAAGACTTGATTATCTCAGAAAATGCCTTATTTATCCAATTTTGTATAAAGTTATTGACTTGCAAATTCATGATATTTGAAGGTAAAATGAAGACTGTGGCCAAAAATCTTGAACAAAAAGATTAATTACATATCATTATTTTTATCCTAATTACTGAATAAACTTAGATTCATTTGTCTCTCTAATACTTGATCAAAATCTAGGGGTGGAAGTTGGTCAGAAGCCCCCTGACCCTTCCTTGGCCTATGACTATAAATGTCCTAAACCAGTCAATAAATAACACTATTTGATGTTTTATTCAAACAAATGATTTAAAAACCATTTCAATTGCTTTTGTTACAAAACAAAAATTTTTCTAAAAAGACAAAATTTTAAAACACAAATTTTGATAAAATATTAGAGAGATAGTTGATGAATCTAATTTTATTCAGTAGACCTAAGATAAAAATAATGATATGCAATTAAACTTTTAATTCGGGATTTCAGGCCAAAGTCTTTATTTTACCTCCAAACATCATGAATTTACAAATCAATAATTTTGAACAAAATTAGATAAACAAGGCATTTCCTGAGATAATTGAGTCTTAAGGGTGCTCTTTCTGGATTCCGCAAGTAAAAATCTATTAGGGTACTAAATTTTAGGAAATTTCCCCGAGCCATTATGAAGATACTATATGCCAAAGTTGCTTTGTAGTTCCTTCAGATAATAACTAAAATGCTGATTCAGCATTATTTTAACTGAATTTAATTAATTTAAATTTAACTTTCAACTAAAATTTTTGCAAAATATGAAAACAAACATGTATGCTTTTTTGATGTAGAAAATGATAAATGTACTTAAAAGATTTATGTGTGAAAGGAACTTAAAAATGAAGCTTAAAAATTAATAAAACAACATTTTTATATAAGCCAACTTGGATTAGTTTTTTAATAAATTAATATAAAGTACTTTATAAAAAAATTGCTAAGAGAAATCTAGATGATACAATTAACAGTTTTTTGATTAATCTGTCAACCAATTTCTTGCATTTTTAAAATATTTTTGTTTTCTGGTATATCCCAACATAAAAAGTGGTTGCCTGCAGCCTTGTTAGAGTAAATTAGTTAAAAAAAAACTATTAATTAAAAAACAGATGGTAGAAAAGAATGCTTTATATTTCTCTTCCTTTATAATTTAGCAACTATAAGAATTAATTTTTCTTCTTCCTTTATATTTTAGCAACTATAAGAATTAATGAATATATAACATTTTAAACATAAAATAAAGTTGTTTTTTATCAAAATATTTATGCTTGAAAAACTTCTATGAACAAAATAATCTATTTTAAAACATTACATAGTTATTTTCCAAAATATGCATAGTGCCTTAATAGAATTATCTTGGAAAATGATGTAATCATTGAATCTGATTTCTAAAGTGCCACTAAACTACTATTGCAGTTACAATAAAGTAAAGACAAATATGTCAAAAGGTATTGTTTACTGAAAAAAGCCTCAAGTGAGTTAGAATAACTTTTAATAAGATTTTTTAATACTAGTTCTAGTTCAATTGCAAGCGAACTAACCAACCAATTATTAAGAGCAGTGAACACTTTAAGAGCAATGCCTACTTTACAAAGGATTGTTATTTATAATTTATTTTTAGGCTGATAATACAAAAAAGTGTCTCTTTAGTAATTGATTCACCTAAAACCACCAACAAAATATATAGTCCATCTAGATATTCCATATCTAGATAAGTCATAAATATTAAACAATAAAAAAAACATTCATAACATATGGGATTTGCTGTGGTAAGCAATTAAAATGTTAAATATTAGTAGCGTACTTACCAACCAATTATTAGGAGTAGTTAACATTTTTAGAGCAGGCTTGGTCAGGAAGTGGAATTACTGACAACAGAAATAATACTTAGTTGCAAAAAACTGGCCAGAATTTTCAGTCGTTTTGTTAACAAAATAAAGAATTATTTATCAATACTATTTAAATTGTGACACTGCTACATCTAGGAATTATAACATACTTAGTGAGCTAAATTAAAATTCTTAGTGAATTCAATTAACATCTTTTTATTTTATTTTTTTGTGTTAACACTTTTAAAGTCAAACTTGCCACTACAAAAAAATCTTTGAAAAAATACAGTAAAAATAAACACACATTATTTGAAAGCCAGTAACAAAATGAACAAAATTGATGATTAGCAAAAATAATAAAATAAGCAACTAAAGTAAGTAAACATAAAAATGAAAAAAATTGAAAATCAAATGAAAAAGTTAAAACTTAATAAAAGGACTTGACTTAATAAATTATTTAACATAAAATAACTTTCTTACTTTTGAAGCAAAGAAAGCGTAATCCAATTAAAAAAATTACCTTTATTGGAAGAAACAGTGAAATTTTTGTTTGGTGAACTTGAAATCTCTAGACAATATAAAGTTTTTATTTATAACTAAAACTTGAAATAAAAATATGGAGTAAAAAAATAACACTAAAAATGTATCTATAGAAAATAACAAAAAATTCTTAAAGGATTCAACTCATTCCCGCCAGGTTTAATTACAAATGTCTTTTCATATAATTTTTGACCTCCTGAGAAATTACAAAAAAATTTGTCTATGTTTCATTCCTTGTAACAAACCTAGTATGAAACTAAAAAAACTTAGACAGTTGAAATCGTGTAGAGCTAAAACAAAGCAAAACACAACTAGTGTGAAATAAAAACAAATGAAACTGTACCCAAAAAACTGAGCAAAAAGAAAATAGTGTTGTGAAACTATAAAAAAAACCTAATAATTTATCAAAATTATTCAATCTTATCCTTGACCTTGTTTATCAAAACTTTATTTGAAACATTTAAAGTGTCTGTAAAAATGCTAAGAGCTTACAGAAAAATCAAATCAGGCAGAAAAGGCTTCCTTAGACTAGAGTTGCTAGATGACTGACCTTTACAAGGAAGAATACAATACCGAACCTACAAAAATCAAAACACTTTTACCTTCGTAAAAACCTGACATCTAACAATCATAGCCAAGTCTGTTTTAAAAGATGTTTTCCCTGTTCGTCATTCACTCACCCCAAGACCAATATCTAGGTGTTTATGTTTAACCCAACTTAGTTTGCCAGTCTGCTCTTGTAACTTAAATATGACTCATCTGAAATTATTTCCTGCAATTTACATAACTTGGTTAACAATTCGTCACATGAAAATTATAGGGTTCTATCTTGTTTTATGTTGAAAGAATTTAACAATCAAAGTTTTAATTAATAATTAATAATAAAAACAAACCACTTAAAAATGATATACTATATATCATTTTTTAACATTTTTAACATAAACAACTTATAATTTATAATTATAATGAATAACAGCTGTAAAACTAGTTGTAAATAAATATTGAAAGTTAAGTTCTCACAACATAAAAAAAGGCAGATAGAACCCTATAACTCTGAAGTGACGAATTGTCACATTAGAATTATTATAAATACGTTAGATATACAAAAAATATTTTACTAACTATTGGTAAAAAACTGACAAAATGCTGACTTTTAATTATTAATGATTTTCTTTTGTGCTTAAGTAATCCATAAATGACAAACTTTTTAGTGGAGCAGACATAATGAATCTAGTCACAAAAAAGTGCTCATTGATGCTTGCTGTGTAATGTTCTTATGTGCAATAAATTAAATAGAGTCGCACGCCAAGACTAGAGTTGCTAGATGTAAGGGTTAGAGATAAAATCAGGGTCAGGGGTTGAATGCCAAACTAAAAGTGTTTGAGGTTGACATTGCCGAATGCCAACCCTAATTTCTATAGTTTTAAAATAGTAAAGTAAAGCGCATGCCAATGATACATAGTTTTATCATATCAGTAAATAGAAAACACATATCAGAAAAAAGAAAATAAAAAGAAAAAATATGATTCTTATTTAGTATTGTTACCTCCAAATTTTGTTTCAATTTTAATCACAATATCTAATCGATTAAAAGCCATTAATTCTTTTTTTAATTGCTCCCATGAAGGATTTCCAATTTTTTGTTTCCATTTTTTAATAATATTATCAGCTTTTTCATAACATTTTGTATTATCAGAGTCAATGTTATCAAGATCTGAATCACTTAGACCGAGGTGTCTTCCCCATCGCAACCAATCACTTCCAATATTATAGCTTATTTCACCACAACATTTTGAAATAAATTCATCAGAAGTCAATTCATTTCTAGACACTAAACATAAGAAATTTAAACTTTAAATATGTAAAAAAAAAAAGGCAAACAAATTAATAAAAACAAAAAACAAAAGAAAAATTGGTGTTAATAACTGTATTTATAACCACTAAAGTCAGTATTTGATTCCAAATTTATAATCCAAATTTATAATCATATCAGCTACAGAGATAAGTTATCAAATCTTTAAATCAGTATATATACTTAAAAAAATTAGTATAACAAATGAACTTAATAAATTAAACTATTAAATAAAAATACTAAAAACGTCAAGAAGATCATTAAACATCAATTGGAAAATAATGCATTATAAACACATCGAAGTTATTCTAATAGATGAAGAAGGGGAGCAAAGCTGGTCAGCAGATATAATCTGTTTACCCAATAATATGCATATAAAATTGGTTAAACAAATAAAAAAATATCAAACATTGGTTAGGAAGGTTTTTTAAAAGCAGCAGAAGATGGTCAAAGTCCACTAGTATATTATACAAAACTATGCATAAATTAATCATGCAAAATTAAATAAATTATGCTAAAAATAGAGACACTTTTTTGAGTTTTAGTAGGAAAGAAATACCTGTTTAAGTAAAAATTTTTTTTTTTTTTTTTGATAGGTATTGCTGAGAAACTAAATTCAAATTTAAACATCTTCAAATAATTATTATGCAGAAAATAATAAAGAAAAATTAAATCTTTAGTTTGATTTTTAGCTTATAAAAATAGTTATATATATTTTTTTTTTTTTACTAATTATGTTGGAGATTGAGAAATGCAAAACTTGTGGGCTTTAATGCCTGATGAACATTAGTTACCAACAACAACGATATTGGCTGTAAGATAAAAAGAAAGGGATAGGTAAATTTAATTAAAAATAACATCAAAAAAAGTCTTGAGATAAAGGAGAGTAATAAAGAACAAAGTGAAAGGTAATAGAGTGAAGTGGTGCTTAACAAAAACACATAAAAGAATAGTCTGTTGATTCAAACCTAGTTTCCTGACAAATGGATGAACTCTTATTAATGTAAATGCCCAAGCCTAGCATGTGACAATTGGAGCTTAAAAAATTAAAAGAAAATAATCCAAGCAATTTTTAAATTACTATTAATAAATCCTGTCGTAACAGCAATCTTTAAATTACTATTAATAAATCCTAACGTAAAGGGGTCCAAATGTGGCCTCAACAATGCACCTCAAAATTACGAAAAGAGACACCATCTATATGCAACATTGGAAACATTAATTCTCTAATATTTTACAGCTGGTAATGGAATCAGCCTCACTGAGAGCTACCACAGAGTTTAGGAAACCTGAGTACCAGCCAGCCTCAGAACAAAAAAACTTTGTTTAAGAGATTTTTTATTAGGAGATAATAGAAAAAGTTGTATTATAAACATATCTACACCAGTTTAATAGATGAAGAAGGGAAGCGAAGCTGGTCAGCAAATAGAATCTGTTTACCCTTTAATATGCATATAAAATATATAAAACTATAATATACAATAAGTTCTTTTCTGGTGTCAGTTTGATTTTGTAATTTCAATTTGAGTTTCTACTTGATAACTGTGAGTTTTCAATTTAACTTGAAGAGTTTTTTTTTTTAAAACAATCTGTTTGCTTGTTATTTATTTTTAATTTTTTAACTAATTCACTTTTAACAAAGAAAGATTTATTACCTATAAAGTTGAGACTTACGATAAACTAAGAACAGTGTTAAAGAGCAAGGAAACAGGTATAGAGAAATAAAAGTTGAAGGTTACATGAGTATAAAAAACATAAAGATTGGAGAGAGTGGAAAGCATTAAAGTGCAAGGAAAGAAACAAGATAGATAAAAGATTTTTGATCAGGAATGGACAGAGAAAAAAAAAGAAGAAAACTTGATGAATTACGAGTCAAGTTGAAATGAGTGTTTGTTGGTAGGGCTGAATGCTAATATTTGTAAAAAAATAAAGATGCAAGTTTATGACAATGGAAGAGTGGCTCAATCTTAGTAAATAAAGCAGGTCCAACTAAGTTAATAATGTCTTTTTGGACCTTGTTTAAGAAGAGGAAAATCATAATTAGGAGAACCAGCCTTGATATTACAACAGTATTCAAATACAGGAAGGTTTTTTCACCCCCTTTTTCTCCTACAAACAAATTTTCTTAAAGTACAATTAATATTGATAGTATTAAAAAACCTTTCATAAATATTAAATGAAGCTTTTATATTAATAATACTATTTTATATTAATAATATTTATATTATTATTTTTAATACTTCAGCAAAAATTTTAATCAATAATTTTACTTAATGATGTTATGTAATCTTAATGATGTTTTACATTTACAGTATAATTACCTGAAACAAAAATTAAAGATTAAATTTTTAAGATCATTTTTTAATAACTAAACTAATGCCATTGTTGAAATAGATATTTTTAAAAGATTTAAAAGATATTCTTTTAAAAGATATCAATGCTAGGTGCTATCTGTACAACAGTTAGTTAGGTAACTATATGTACAGTCATCATAGCTTGGTCAAGAAAAAAGTGTGTTCTCATAACTGTATCAAAGTACACCATACTTGGACTTAGTGCATCTAAGTATTTGATTGACATTTTTAAATATAATTTTGTTAAATTTCATTTATATTTTAATTGTAATAGTAATAGTAATATATTTAAATAAGTCTTTATAGATTACATGACAAATAAAAAAAAACAATCAAATAAACAGATTAAAAAACAAAAGCATTTTTTTTTTTTTTTTAATTTATTTTTTATTTATTTTTTATTATTTATTTTTTATTATTTTTTTTTTTTATTTTTTTTTTTTAATTTTTTTTTTTTTTAGATTTTTTTTTTTATTTTTTTATTTTTTTTTTTTTTGCTTTTATTTAATTACAGTTTACATTTATGACAAATGTACCTAAAAAGTCAATATTTGTAGCTGCTAAAGCACAAATTAATTAAATTAAACATGCAACTCATCTTCAGTAAAAGATGCACTATATGCAGTTGTGGAAAAAAATGCTTTTTAATTCTACTTTTGAATGCGTTAATTGACGGAGCCTTTTTGCATAACAACGGTAAATAATTCCAATAATTCACAATACGATTTGTGAAGAAATTGTCGAGCATTATTGTGAAGAAAAAAGGTCAAGCATTATTGCCTGTGAAAACACGCGTTAGTTCGTTGGATGGTGATCTGCGAAGAGGTGGACTATGCCAATTAGTAACTTCAAAACTGTTTTCAAGATTAAAATGTTGGATAAAGTCGCCGCATTGTCTGCGTGTTTCCAAATAAGTAAAATTGAGAGGCCGACACCTTTCAGCATAAGGTAAACTTGAGGAATTTTTGTTGCTTTGTGACAATGTTTAAATCATTTTTAAGAATCAGACAATCAGCATCATGAAACTCAGGTCTTATTTCTTGCAACAGTTTAGTGTCATCAACATAAATTTTATGAACTGATTTTAATTTATCCGTTAAGTCATTAATGTAGATGATGAATAATGTTGGACCAAGTACAGAACCTTGTAAAACTCCGCTTAAAAAAGTGCCTAAAGCAATTTTTTATTACACCAAATGTTACTTATAATAATTATAATAATTACCTAAAGTCATACTCTGCAAAACAACACTTTAATATTTAGAAAGAAATGTGTTGTTAGAACTGCAGAGCTTAAAGAGTATGAATTAAAGCAACTAGCCTTGTGATTTGTGTTTTTGTTATTAGTTTTTGTTTTTGTTATTAGTTTTGTTATTAGTTTTTGCTATTTACTGATTATTAGGGTTTCGCTATTATATCATTTGTCGATATATAACTTAAAGTTTTAAATTAAAATCATTAAAATAATTAAATAAATATAAAAATAAAAAACTAAAAAAACATATACCTTCAGTTTTAACTAAGCTGCTAAATAGACCATTTTCCATTTTTTTGTAGAAACCTTTAACAAATCATACAATTAACTTGTAAAAAGATAAGAAATAAGTTAATATCAAGAAAATATCTTTATAAAAAGATAAAAAGGCCCATAGTAAGGTAAAAAGCAGTTCTATTTTTAATGGCTTTTAAAATTGCTATTTTAGGTACTTTTAGAATATGTTGTTCAATTATTCGATGTACATAATGATCTGTTAAATAAGTATTATATGTAGTCATATATTAAAAACTTTGTTTTTATGGTTAACTATTTACTGAGATTTTATTTATTAGCATTAAATGCTGATTAGGGATTCCAGAATCATAAAACCTAAGTTGAAAATAAAATATACAAAAAAAAATGATCATTTTTACAAAATTAACTTTTTTTATAAAGTACTTTCATACTCAAATTTATGTCTACACCATAAGTCATTTTATTTTAAGCGATTACTGTAAAATTCAAAATCTCCTTTTATTGAGCTATAAACAATCAAAATAAAATAACTTACAGCAGTTCTTCCTTAATTTAGTTATATTAAAATAAAATATAAAATAAAGGAAGCTTAAATTTAAATAATCATAAGTTCACTATGAGAAAAGCCATTAGCTTTAACAACCTTACTTGCATTTTAGTTAGACCTCTTGCTCTACCCATGGTTGTAATCTAGATCCTCTACTCTAATCATGGTTGTAAATTTAACAAATTTGTTAAGATTTAACAAATTTCTAATGTTATAAATATTTCAATACTGTCATTCTACTGATGATAACTAAAAATAACAGAAATGCTCTAATCTGCATTAGATAGAATAGGTGAAGTGAGATTTAATTGCTTTCTTGATATAAAAAAAAACTTGTAACAGAGCCTAGCAAACTTGACCGATTTTTAGATTTTTTGTGTCAAATTTAAGTTTTAAAACTTATAAGTCTTTATTCTCTAACTGCTCTAAATTAGTTTTATTTACTAATGATACTATGATACAATCTAAATATATAGTTGCATCAATAAAAATCCAGTCTTCATATAAAACCATAACTTATTAATTAGCTAGCCTGAATACAACAGGTAGCAACAGCTTATCATGAATATCATCTTTAAGTTTACTTTTTTTTTTCTTGTTCTCTGTTTTTTTTACTCCTATTTCAAATTCCATTATGTTCTTTCTTTTTTAAAACCTTATTTAAAAAAAAGTGCATAAACATATTTAAAAATAAGGTGAACTTGATTGCATTGAAGTTTGATAAAAGACAAATCTTCTTTTTGCAAAAATTCTAAATGAAATAATTTACTTTATAGTATAATAACAAGAGTCACTTGATCTGAAACTAAATTTTTTAAAATTTGATAGACATAAAAGTATATTTAAAATCACTAAAATAATAAACTACAAATTTTATAAAAACTAAAAAATCAGAAAATTAAATAGTAAAAGTATTCTCTAAAAATAAATTTTATTTCAACTTTTATTTTCAAATTAAAATTTTTATGATTTAAATGTGCTAATTCTAAACTTGTAAGTTCTTTTAACAAATTTATATTTGATATTTTTTATTATCAATTTAATTTATTTAATTTTTTTTTAATTACTTTGTAATATGATATGAAGATAAATAAATGCTTGTTATTTTTTAGCTGTGTTGAATGTAATATTTCATTTAATAAAAAGAATAGTTAAAAAAAAGAAAAAGTGAGATATACAATATTGTATAAAATGATATGAATGTATTCATACTCAATATGATTACATTTACTGAGTATAAACAAAATAACAAATAGGATGAAAATACATTCATATTCGTTTTTTTTTTACATTACATTCATTATGCCATAATGAATTTGGTGATAAGGCCAAACTTGTTTACCGTGTATTTTTTTTTATAATAAAAGATGTAACTTTTCTTTAAAATCAAATACACGAATAGAGTATGAGTACAGTATAAATACATACTTTTTAATTACAGTATGAATACATACTGTTTAATTACTGTATGAATACATGGGCTTGATGATCAAGCCCATCTGCGCTAAATATCTTTCTCTTTTTTTTCTCTTTTTTTTCTCTTTTTTTTTTTTTTGGAAAAGTGATTTACGCTAAACTGTCCCAATAATTTTATTAAATTAAAAAAAATACAAACACAATGATAAAGATTAAAACAAAACAAAAATAAAATAGTACCTAAATCACTTGGAACATATAACGTTTTAAAATCCGGATAACAATTCCATTTAGAATTCGATGGTAGTTATTTTCAACACATTACTTGACACTTTACTAACCACTGTGCTTAGTTGTAAGAGACTCTCGTGACATTAGCAAATGTTTACTGTTTATTTTGCAATGTTGACATTTTCAGTGCGAGCGCTAATTTAAATGTAAACGAGTAACGTCTATTAAAAGCCTTTAGTCTATTTATCTTTGTACGAGAACGTACAGACTTAAATTGGTCTTTTATTTCAAATTAAATACTACAGGTGCTTGCACCGAAAAAACCACATAAAAGTAGCAGAGCCTAAAACTTTTTTTTTGAGAAAAACAAAATTTTTTAAGCTATTACTGTTGTAAACGTTTTGATAGGTATGGTTTAATATGTCTCGCTTGTTTTCTTTTGCTCGAATGTTAAAGCTGACTCTTTTTTTCGCCATGCACCCCAAAAACCACATTAACTAATTTAACAATAATTTCTTTACTGTTAAGAATTTTAACTTTTTTAAATTTTAATTTTTTGAAGAAGATTGTTATAATAAATTGCTCTTAGGATGATTGCATCACTGTTAACTTATGTTTTATAGAACACTTCAAATGTACTACAAAAACCACATCATATGCACCCCAAAAACCACGTTGGTTTTTTGATGATTATGAAATAAATTTGAAATAGTTTAATAAAATATTTATATAATATTATTTTTTTATGTAATACATAATATATAATAAATGTTATTACATTTAAATAAATAAATTTTCCTGTTAAAATTTTGGACATCCTATTCATAATCTTATACTAATTACTAAACTATATAGATAATATAACCTATATATAACACAAAAAGTCTGTTCAATAAATTTAAATTGTGCAACAATAAAATTTGCAAGTTATTAGGAATTTCCAAAATTTCATACTACATTTCCTTTTTGAAAACCTTAACAATGCAAAAAATACACGGAAAGCAATACAAGAATAGTTAACATAAAATAAAAAAAATAACAAAAAAAAAAAAAAAACATAAAACCATCCGCACCAAATAAATCTTGCATTTTCAAACCTATTTGTAACACTATCTCAGATAGTAGTACCGTTGCTCACATTTTTAACAACTGCTATGAAAAATAAAATGCCCACCCAAAAGTAAAAAGATTTCTTCTAAACGTATTTTCTCTGGCTATTTAAAAAATTTGATTTTTTTTTTAATTCAGTGACCGAAAAAGATATTTCTGATTTAATAAAAAAATAGATTACAAAACGGCATAAGTTTAGGTCGAAATAGAATCCCCACACACCTTCTTAAACTTATTTCTCATGTTATTTGCAAGTCTTTGTGTACCATATTGAAAAATATATTTAGTTAAGGCTAGTTTTATTGTGTATTCCATTGCACATTCTACCATCTAGTGCATTATTTGACCACTTTTTTAATGGTATCTTTCTAATTCGACTTCTTTTGACTTTCACTTGTTTTTTTAACTCGTTCTTCTTAAACTCACTGACTTTCAGTCTGCAAACCAGGTTATGATGGTCTTTAGTGAGCTAAACTTGTCTTCGCAGGCCTGTGTATGTGGCCTATATATGGTAATTAGCCATATATAGGCCACATATACTGATGACTTTTTGGAGATGTTTTTAAGATAGCCAAAGTAATTCGTTAATAAAAACAGTATGAATACATACTGTTTAATTACAGTATGAATACATACTGTTTAATTACTGTATGAATACATGGGCTTAATGATCAAGCCCATTTGCGCTATATATTTTTCTCTTTTTTTTTTCTTTTTTTTGGAAAGGTGATTTACGCTAAACTGTCTCATTTATTTTATTAAATTTAAAAATTAACAAACACACTAACAAAGATTAGGTACGTGCGTATCCAATGAGTTACGGCACCGATTATGTAATCAAAATCTTCGACCATTTTATCAAAGCGTGCTTAGCGTTTGAGTTGTAAGAATGTATTTTTTTGTGTTATTTTTTAGGATTTTATATCAGCATAGACTTTTTTTGAAAAGTGGAAGAGTTAAACTTCATTTTTAGATAGTTTTTTTTTGAAGTTACAACCGCCTTTATTGAATTTACTTTTCTTCAAAACTTCGTTGTTGATCACACGTCAAATTAATATTGAAGGAATGTTGAGAACATTTTTAAAACTATTAAGAAAAATTTAAAAACTTATTTTCTACGTGCATACCAAATTTTATCGAAAAAGATTATGTAGCAGTCACCTAATTTTTTGTAGCAGAATATGTACCTAAGTTAAAGTATTGTAAATAAAGCAAAATATTGCGCTTCTAGCAACAAAGTTTCATAACAAAACTACCGTTAGCCGAAGTTGCAGTTTTTTTTAATCAAATTTTGTTACTTAAATGAGCATAACTTCTTGTAAAATTGTTATTTTTTTATGAAATTTTCACTTTTGTGCTGATTTTAGCCTCTTTTCAATGATATATAATAATCAATAATAAAAATAGTTTAAAGATTTTACACACGTGCCTACAAAGATTAAAACAAAGCAAAAATAAAATAGTACCTAAATCACTTGGAACATATATCGTTTTTAAATCCGGCTAACAATTCCATTTAGAATTCGATGGTAGTTTTTTTTCAACACATTACTTGACATAAAATAACTTTACTAACCACTGTGCTTAGTTGTAAAAACAAGAAATAAGACTCTCGTGACATTAGCAAATGTTTACTGTTTATTTTGCAATGTTGACATTTTCAGTGTGAGCGCTAATTTAAATGTAAATGAGTGACGTCAATATAAAGCCATTAGTCTATTTATCTTTATACGAAAACGTAGGGACTTATATTGGCCTTTTTTTTCAAATTAAATACTATACATAATATATAATAAATGTTATTATATTTAAATAAATAAATTTTCGTGTTAAAATTTTGAACACCCTATTCAAAGTCTATTACAAATTACTAAACTATATAGATAATATAACCTATATATAACACAAAAAGTCTGTTCAATAAATTTAAACTGTGCAAGAATAAAATTTGCAACTTAGGGTAGATTAGGGTAATATGAGCACCTTGGTAATATGAGCATACATAAAGATTTATTAGATGTAAGCAGTGAAGTTAAAGTTGCTTTATGTTTTTCGAATCGACTTTATGTGGTGATAACAGAAATCAGTACAGTTAGCGAAAATTTATACGCAGTAATTAGCGGATATCATCTAATTAAAACGCTTTAAACTTTTTGCTTTGTTAAAAAAAATCATCACGCGTGAATAATTCTGTGGCGCGATATTTTGGCTCTAAAATAATGAAATTATTTTTTTTTGTAAAGAAAAATATATTAGCTAAAAATCCAATTCATTTTTGTTTGAAAAATAATGCTTAGAAACATTTATTTTTGACTTTATTTAAAGATACCATTTTTGTGTAATATGAGCATGCTCAAATAACCCAGTGCTTAGTTTAAAGTCCAAAAATAGCAGTGGTTTTTAATTGCTTCTTGAATAAAAACAAAACATAGTAAAAAATTTTAATATATTAACAATACTAAATATTTTTCTGTAACTTAAATCTGAAAAATTTTAATTTTTATTGTTCGAAGGTTTGAGTTAACAAAATTGAAAAAACAATGTATTAGTTTTTTTATTATTTTTTGGCGGAAAACATAGTAGTATTGTTTCAACAAAATGTAGTTTAAAATTTGATCTTTTAATGATATGTTTTGTTAATCACGAATCCTTATACTCCAACAATTAGTTCTATTGAGCAGGTTGGTCTTTTTTTACTTAATTAATGCTTTTTTTTTTGAGCTAGTTTAAAGTGCTCATATTATCAAGGGGTCAAGGTAATACGAGTACTTTTGCTACTTTTTTAAAACCTTTGTGTTTTTAAGAAAAAATGTCAAGTGCCCAAATATCTAAATAGATTATGAATAGGGATACCTAAAAACTGTTTTATTGCAAAAATTTTGGATCCAGCATATTTATTTTTGAAAAAATTCCAATTTTTGCTTAAGGTGCTCATATTACCTTAATCTACCCTATTAGGAATTTCCAAAATTTCATACAACATTTCCTTTTTCTAAAAAAACCTCAACAATGCAAAAAATACACGGAAAGCAATACAAAAAATAGATAACATAATATATATAAAAAAAATATATCAAACCATCCGCACCAAATAAATCTTGCATTTTCAAACCTAATTGTAACACTATCTCAGACAGTATTACCGTTGCTCACATTTTCAACAACTGCTATAAAAAATACAATGCCCACCCAAATGTAAAAAGATTTCTTCTAAACGTATTTTCTCTGGCTATTTAAAAAATTTGATTTTTTTTTTGATTCAGTGACCGAAAATGAGATTTCTGATTTAATAAAAAAATACATTACAAAACGGTATAAGTTTAGGTCGAAATAGAATTCCCACACACCTTCTTAAACTTATTTCTAATGTTATTGTAAGCCTTTCTGTACCATATTGAAAAACATATTTAGTTAAGGCTAGTTTTATTGCGTATTCCATTGCACATTCTTCCATCTAGTGCAATATCTGTCCGCTTCTTTATGGTATCTCTCTAATTCGACTTCTTTTGACTTTTACTCGTTTATTTAACTCGTTTTTCTTAAACTCACTGACTTTCAGTCTGCAAACCGGGTTATAATGCTCTTTAGTGAGCTAAACTTGTCTTCGCAGGCCTATGTATGTGGCCTATATATGACAATTAGCCATATATAGACCAAATACACAGATGACTTCTTCCAGATGTTTTTAAGATAGCCAAAGTAATTGATATCCATTAAACTGGTTCTCTAATGGACCACACAAAATAATGATCAATTTCTTTTTTTAATCTAAAATTAGCAAAATATTTGAAATAGCTATACACAACAGAATTTATAGCGGAGTTATGTCTCTTTAAACATCAGTATGGATTTTGTAACAAACATTCCACAACTCGCGCATGTAATAAAATAACTGAAACTGTTAGAAAAGCTCTTGGCAATAAACTTTTTGCATGTGAAATTTTTCTTGACTTAGAGAGAACCTTTAATTCTATTGATCAGTCCATACTCCAAAGTAAATTGGAACACAACGGTTTGCGATTTAATGCTTTCCAATGGTTTTTATCATATCTTCTTAATAAATCGCAATTTGTCTCCATCAATAATACTAAATCTTTCCCAATAAAATGCTTTACATGTGTACCCTAAGGTTCTATAGTAGCACCATTATTTTCCCTTATTTTTATAAGTGATTTTAATATCTTTCTAAAACTTTTAACAGCTTACCATTTTGGCGACCATACCAACTTACTTATGAAAAAATGATACCAACAAATCATGAAAAAAAATTAACAAGCATACTTAACTTGATTTATCCAATATACTTTAATGGCTGCGATCAAACAAACTGAGTTTTAAAACCAACAAAACTAAACTCATTATTTCCAAATCAAGTCAATCTAAAGTGTATAAAAACCTAAAATTTAGACTATGCAGTCAAAAAATCTTTTCAGAAGTTTTATAAAAGTATATTTGAATCTTAATTGACTCAAATCTATCATTTTCTTCTCATCTTAAAAAATTAGCGGCCGAATTGCGTAAATTAAATGGGATGCTAGCCAAATTTCGTCGCTATGTCAATCAGGAAACTTTACTCAATATATACCATGCAATATTTGGGTCACATCTCAGTTTTGCTTTTTAGGTTTGGGGACAAAATAAGTCTCATGCTTTTTTATGATTATCGAACCTAAAAAAACAAGGCATCTTTTTTCTTTGTATCAAAAATGCTTTAACTGCATGATCTTGTTTATCTATTAAATTGTCTATTTGTCTGGAATCATATTCAAGTAAACCTTTCTCCGTCATTCTCCACTTTAAGCCTCCTTTTAAAGCAAAATATCTTTAAATGTTCTCCCTTAAAAGTATAATTTAGCTATAAAATATTTAGCCTGATAAATATCCCACAATAATATTTAGTTCTTTGTGAATTATAGCGGCTTTAGATATTGAATCATTTTTGTCAGTTTGAAAATTCCGCGCACAATTGTTCTCTTATATTTATATCTAATTGGTTTAAACGTAAGATATAACCTTCAAATTCGAATGAAAGTAGTTTAACTTTTAATAGTTTTTTTCATAATAATAAAGTGATTTCTTAACTAATTATTAACTTAAAAAATTGAAAGTTGAATGATTCAGTAAAACATGAAAATCGGAGAGAGTTCCAAAGGGTTGAAGTGCAGGGTAAAAACTAGCCAAAAAAAGGTTTTCAGAGCATGCAGATACAGATACAGTAAAACATCAGACTTTGCTGAATGAGCAGTCTAGCGAGAATGATTTTTAGTTGATCAAACTCAAAATGATAGCTTCTTTGAGCAGCGAACATGGTAGTATTTGTTTAAAAGAGAAAAAGATGCAACTTTACAACGATGGGAAAGAGGCTTGATTTTAGCATTTTAAGAAATAAATTTGCAGCCGAACTGGTGTTGTCATATCACCTCGTTTTATACAAAATAATTTTCAATGATTAGACTGTACAACAAAACAGTGGCAGACACAGGGGGAGTAGAAATGGGCGTAGGTTACATCCCCCCCTGCAGCCAGAATTTAAAAGTTGTAAAATATCTCAGAAAGGAGAACCTTTTGCGTACAGAAATATTATGTCTTCCTTCCTAGATATAACCAAATAAGAATTAGCAAATGATAAGTTTTTAGTGCAAACTGATGGGAGTAAACATAAAGGTATGAAACTTTTTTCTAGTGTAAAACCAGACGTTATTGAAAAACCCGAGACTAATTTATGTATAGTAATACATAATTTAAATGAATTGCAAAGCAAAGAATAGTGCAAGGCATATAGTGAACACAATTTCAATATTTATTGTAGTTCAGTTTTTCACTTTGGAAATTTTAAGGTTTATAGTTTACAACAAAAAGAATTTTTGTATTTAAGAAAACGGGTGATCTACTCACGTGCTTAACAACAGAATTCAACATTTTGTAGATTCCATGGATATTAACATATAGAAGATGCTCTTTAAGATATATCATTATTTCTCAATTTATCCGCTTCGTGTAGAGTCTCTAAACGATTTTTGTACTTTTTTAGAATTTGTCTACCCAATGATTAAACTATTCAGTATAAGTCGTTGATTATCATTGGTTAACTCGCTATCATATGCATATCAGTAGAACGTACTTAAGTTAGAACCAGATTCTAATTGCCTTTTGAATACAATAGAGATTTTGAAATAAGAATTAGATCTACTTAAAACTCCTATTAAAGCTAAGTTCTTTTTCTTTAAATTACGCAATCTCCGAAAAAACAAAGAACTTTAACCAAACAAAACATTAAAATTATAAATGTATACTTTTAGTATGAACCAAAACAATTTAGATATTTTGAACTCATGGAACGAGGATGAAACTCATGAACGGGAAATTTCAATCATTTAAAACATTTTCCTGTCCTTGTCCAAAAACGATTTAGTTTGGGAGGAAGTCAGTATTAAATTTGAGTATTTAAAGGATAAAAATGTTTGCATAGACAAAAAATAAAACAGTTTTTAAACAATTTCTTAAATTGCAAAAGTTTTATAAAGACCACCTATCGAAAGAAACTGTCGACAAATAATGGTTGCAATGTTTCAAGATTATAATGATACCATACAA